ACTGGGTGTTGTGCACGAACAATGAATCATGGAACACTACATCTAAAACTAATGATGTAATGTATGGGGATTAACATAAGAATAAAAAAAAAAAGATGAGGTCACCCTGGAGGAGAGCGGACCCCTCATCCAATATGACTGCTGTGTTTAAGTCAAGGGGACATTTGGACATGAAACAGTCACGCAGAGAGGGCAGCCGTCCGCAAGCCAAGGAGAGAGGCCTGGAACAGCCCCTTCCCTCACAGCCCTCAGAAGGAAGAAACCCCGCCAGCCCCTGGACTTCAGACTTCTAGCCTCCAGATTAAAGCACTCGGCTTGTGGTGCTTTGTTACAGTAGCCCCAGGAAGCCAAGGGCTCACTGCTTCCTCCTGGTTCTCCCGGAGTCCTCACACTGGGAAGGGAGTGGGTGAGGGGGGGAGTCGGCTACCATGTGGGTCCAGCTACCCCAAGAATATGGCGCTGGAGGGGCCCCCATGGAGGTGCTGGGTCAACAGACCCAGCTGAGCCCCCGGCCAGCAGCCAGCAGCACCCACCAGACCCGTGAGTGAGTGAGCCTTCTTGGGCATCAACCCAGGGGTGCCCTCCGACGACCCCAGCCCCAGCCAACCTCTGTCACTGCCTGAAAGACTCCAAGGGACAGGTGCCTAGTTGAACCCTTCCCAATCCTGACCCACCAAATCATGAGGGAAATGAAATGGTGGGTTGAAGCTGCTAAGTCTTAGGGTAACTGCAAATCTGCATAGTAACCAGCACACCTACACTCCCCCCTTCCCTCCCTTCCCAGGGACCGGAACACGGAGGTGGTGATGGTGGGCCATCTTCAGTCACATGGAGGAGGACATGGGGATGCCACAAAATAGGACCCTGGGCTTTTGGATGTCCTCCTGGAACAGGGCTGCTGATCCCCAGATGCCACTTGGATTTTATATAAAGGAGAAATAAACTGCTGTCTTGTTTCAGCCGCTGCTAATTCTGCCTCCATTTAAAAAGCCAAATCAATATTCTAGCAATATGGTGCGTGTAAAACAAATAGCTCGGTGTCTAGCACGTACGTAAGCGCTTCTTTCAAAAGGTACCTACTGTCACCATTAATATCACATCTAAGGCTCCTGCAGCAGCAACGCTAGCTGAGTCTGGTCACCTGTGGATTAACACTCCGGCTCCGCACTCCTCCCAGTGAATGGGAGTGACCCCATGTCACCCATGGTCAACCAGACAGGTCAAACTGAAATTGTCTGTGGTCCATGCATAATTCACACCAGGGGTCTCTTCCATCAGCCTCCAGCTGACCGAAGCCCTCCCAGGCAGACTGCCAGACAGGGGGCCATGGACACCAGCACCAGCACACACCGTCCCACTCCTCTGACCACAAAATGAACCGAAGCTCGTGGCAGCTCCTGTGTGTTCCCGCTCCTCCTCTCCTGCTGCAGAGGGCCTGGGATTGGAGGAGAGAAAGGGCAAGATGACACGGGAGGTGGATCTCAGATAATGACAATACAGCAGGGAGAGAGAACCAGAGAAACTAACTCTACCCTGAGAAATCAGGAGAGGCTTCTGGGAGGAGGTGAACACACTATCCTGAAGATGTTTTCCAGACTGGAAAGGAGGGAAAGGGCTCTGCGGGCCGGGGAGTGCCCGGACAAAGGCTTCGAGCGTCAGAGTCCACACAGCTTGTGATGTGCGCCAGACCCCGGACCTGCCTCCCTGGCACCCATTCCTGCCCTATCTTCAAAGGCAGGCAGCACAGGAGAGGATAGGAGTCAGAGCCCCAGGCCCCCTAGGGCAGCTATGACAGAGCCGGCTTTAGGATCTTCTCTCCCTGCCCCCAGAGCCACCTAACTGCAAACAGTCCTGCGAGACTCCTGCCCTCCAAAGTGCCACACCCAGCCTTCCTGAACTGCGGACCCGCTCTGGGTCTGGGGCTTTGGCTTCAACCTGATTCTCCTCCTCAATCCCCAGCTCCCCGCCTTGGGCTTGTGCATGTCCTGCTGGCCTAGAGGCCCAGGAGAGAGCCCACAGACCGAGGAGGCTGTCTGAGTGGGAAGACATAGGCCCTTCCTTTAGGGGCTCCTCAGACCGGGCACAGTGACATGTGCAGAACAGAGCAAGGCCATGAGAGCTGAGCTGCCACAGAGGGCAAGAAGAGTGCAGATCAGGGACAACCAAGGCAGGCTTCCCGAAGGAAAGGGGCTGGGAAGGAAGGGTATCAGGGAAGATCAGCCTGCAGGCAGGCTCTGGGATTCCTCGGTCATAGGTACAGAGTGGTGAGGGATTTGGGTCAGACTCCAGTTTAAACATCCACAGTGCCTTCAGTGTCTAGTGGGAATGTGGGGGGTGCCATTGGAGGGTGTCCCCATAGCCTTGTCACCAGGAAGGCACAGTGAGTGGCTTCTCCATGGAGTGGGAATTCAGCAATGTGGGGGAGGGCAGTTGCTAAGGGAAAGGGCAGCCTCCACACTCCCATTGCACCTCCTGTCCAGGGAAGGGGGGTGTTAGAAATGACGTGTCCCCCAGCACACATACACCCACCCCACCCCCCAAATGACTTCCTCCACAGTCCCATCTTGGATCCCATCTCTACCCCCGTCACTACAGCCCTGGAGGCTAGTAATACATCTCCTCAAGGTAACTGACCTGAGGTACTAGTGTTGAGTCCATGCCCCCAACCACCTGCTCCTTTGGAGGCAGGTGGCTAGAGCACCTCTGTCCCCATCTGCTCTCCTAGGCTGCCTAGCAAGCTCCTTTCCACCCTCCCCGTTCTTGTCAAGAACTTTCATCCTGCCCCACTTCCAACCCGACTTGAGAGTGCCACAGAGGTCCCTTGCTCGGGCTCCGTCCTCCCCGCCCCTGCTGGGCCACAGTGTCTTCTCTTAGCTCTGAGCAGAGAGAGTCCCCCACTCTGCCCCAGCCTTGTCCTGGGGAGCCTTTGGCGTCCGGTCTTCTCCTGGCTGGTGCCTCCACCCTCCACTCCCCCTGGATGCCACCTCCACGAAGGAGAAGGGAAAGGAAATACAAACGCACACATTCCGTTTCAGTGAAATTTGCTCTTTATTTGGGAAGCAGGGAAAGACCACACACAGCCCTCCAGCCCAGGGGCTGGGGACACGGAGAAATGGAATGAAGACCCCATCCCGCACCCACCCCCCAGGCGCAGCAGGCAGGGAGAGGAACCCAGGTTCCGGGGTCAGGAGCAACCATGCAAATGAGGTCGGTGTAGTTAGCATATCTCCCAGGAACCCTTGGGGTCGTCACCACATGTACGCGCCTTCTGGCCTGTAGGAGGGAAAGGAAAGGAATCGCTCAGAGCCCGGCGTCGGATCTGAGGAGGCTAGACTGGGGGAAAGCGCTAGGTGGCGGGGCCAGGGTGGGGCTCCGTGGGGCCGCACAACCCAGACCGAGCACTAGGGGTCAGGAAGTGTGGCTGGGGGTGGGAGGAGGGGCGCTTTTACCGTGACTTGACCCCGCGGTCCTCGCCGTCGGGGAAGAGTAGTTTCGAGAGGGCCGCTTCCGGGCTGTAGCGTTTCCCATACCTGGGGGCGGGGCCAGAGTGGGCGGGGTCAGCCCCGGACACGCCCCTGGGCGGAGGGCGGGAGCCCCGAGGACCCCGCGCCCGGCCGACGCGCGCGCGCGCTCACCGCTGCCGAGTGACCAGGTTGAGGTAGTGGCGCAGCGACGCGTAGTAGCGGCTCAGCTCCTCCGGCGAGGCGTCTTCGCCGGGAGCCTCGGGTTTGGCGGGGTAGGCGTGGACCAGCGCCCCCAGGCAGGCGAGCAGGGCCAGCAGCACTGTGGCCATGGCGGGCCACGGCCTGCGCACCGTCACCATCTGGAGAGGGGGCAGGGATCGTGGGTCGTCCCCAGGCTCGACACCCGACGGCGGGAGGCCGAGGCGGCCGTCGGGCCCACGCTCCCCGGCCTGTGCAGGGCTACTACCGGACCAAGGCTCAGCCACCGGCTCGCTGTGTGTTCTCGGGCACTGCACCGTCTCTGCCTCGGTTTCCCCATCTGTCAGAGAGGCATAAGCCTGGCCTCCCCAACCCCCACTCGTACTGCCCAAAACGGTAGCTGGAGGCAGAGGGCTATGCTGGCCGCTCAGCACCAATTTCCACCATCCCAGCCTCAGTTTCCCCACAAAACAGCCCGGGTTCCCCCGCACCAGACCATTCCCGGGCCACTCACGGCGACAGCTCTGGAAGCAGAGATGAGCAGGTGGAAAGCGAAAGGAGTCCCAAGGGCTGGACTGCTGCAGATCGGGCTGTGGCCTCCTCCTCTGCTCAGCGCTTTCCCTACGGGGCTTATATCTCGGCCTGGAAAGGGAGGGAGAGTCCGAGGGGGAGGGGGAGCTCGAGGGGTGGGGAGGGCCTTTCCTCCTCCTTGCCTCCACCCCCGCCAGATCGCTGAGTGCACACCCAGACGGTGCGTGATGTCTCCACCTTGCAGGAGATGAGGGGGCAGCCACCAGACTCAGACTCAGACTCTGGACAGAACCTGAACCCCATCTTCACCCCACAGCCCCCCCAACAGCAGGTGCAGCCCTCCCGAAGAAGTGAAACGTTTGTATCTAGACTCCTGGGGCAGCCCCTAGGACCAGGGATAAGATTCCATCTTCCCTAGCCTACCCGTGGGTGGGAATGAGGAGCCTGGGCTGGCCACAACCTCCAGCCAGTGGGACCTGTGACGGGTCCATGGAAAAGGCAACCTTTTCAGCCCTCGCTCTGCAGTTCCTTGGAGAGGGGCTAAGGAGGGGCAGAATCTTTCTACCGGAAGCCGGGTAGGAGCTATGGCTTTGGCTTTTGACCTGATGTTTATGATGTCCTAGAGGAGAGGCCTCTCTGGACACCCCACTATGTCCCTTCTCTGTGAAAGAGCTGGGGAGAGGGCTGGGAGGAAGCCGAGGCCAGTCCCCACCCCCAGAAGCAGCTGAGTCTGCCACGTGTGCATCCAGCCGGGCACACACAGACCCAGGCCCAAGCAGGCCCGGCATAGAGATCCCTTCCAAGGCAGCGTACCCCATCCCCATCCAGATGTCACTCAGGGCACTGGTGTCTTCTGGGGTTAAGTGATGCCAGGGCTGCCCAAGCACGTGCCACTGTCCCCAGCCCACTGCAGTCTCCACTGGGCTCTGGGGCGAAAATCCTTGCCCAGGGCCTTTGAAAGAAAGAGGAAGGGACTCTGTTCATTAGGCACCTACTGTGCACTGGCCATTCAGGATCGCAGCACAACCCAATGAGCTGAATGTATTCCCATTTTACAGATGAGGAAACTGAAGGTCTGAGAGAGGAGGGAACCTAGGATTCGAACAAGAGGAAAGGGCTGGGGTAGACCCCAGGAAGAGGCCATCTCAGCTGAGGGGCAGAATGGCTCACTACCTGGAATGACCATAGGGCTCAGAAGTCGGGCACGGGAGCAGGGGAGGGGAGGCTAATTTGGGAGCCTGCTACCCTCTCTGAGAGGCCAACCACATCAGACCCACCTGCCCCCACTGGGAAAAGAAGGTTGTTGGGGAGTCTCCCCATAAAGCCCTTTCCAGGTCCCTTTCTCCCAGCCTGGCCAGAGCCTCCAGTGCTTCCCTGCGTCCCATCAGCCCCTGAGGGCAGAAGGCGCCATCTTGGTTCTGGGCCAGCCCCTCCACCCTCCAGGACAGATGGCCATGGGTGTTATTTTTAGAGCTCTCTCAAGGTGGAGAGTCTAGGGCTCCCTCAATCATCTTTTTATAGGTTTAATCACCTGCATTCTCCGGAAACGGCTCCTTATCAACCAGTCAGGCCCCAAGGGCCCTGCATATCCCAAGAAAGGCGAGGGCAGCATGCTGAGCATGGAGGCAGAAGAGGGGACCTGGACCCTATACTCAGAGGGAGGAGAAAAATCATTCACCTGAGGGGCAGGGCACAGCCCTGTTCTCCAGGACCCCTGGTCTCAGAGGAGAGTCATGGCCATAACCTTGGGGATCCCCAGTCTGAGGGGAGGGGAGCAGCAGCATCACTGGGGAGCCCCAACCCAAGGGAGGAGGCACGCCACTAACCTTGCAGAGCCCCAGTCTGGGGAGTTGTCAGGACATAGAGACAGAGAGGAAAACCGAGGGACAAGCCTGGGTCCAGCTGGGGGAGCAGACGGCAAAAATAAAAGTACACTCCTCCAGAGGCCATGGAAGGACAGAGGCAGGTACTCACCCTCGGGATGGAGAGGACAGCCAGCGGGGCTGGTTGGGGCAGCTGTAATCCCAGGGGTCAGGGCCTAGACAAGGACCCCTGCAGGCTACAGGGGACAAGGATATCTGAGAGTGGGGGCCATTTGCTCTTCAGCAGCCCTGGCTGGGGTGGTGACAGGGGGTTTCTAGTGTATTGATCCCCGGCAGAGAGAGATGACAGGGATTGTGAAATGCCCAAAGGGAATTGACGGCCTCTCATGCCTTGGGGAGTGGGGGGGTCTGAGGACAGATGGGAGCAGAGGAGAAATAGTAGAGAAGCCAGAAGGTGTGGGGGAAGGCCTGGATTCAGGATACAACCCCTAAAAAAGTCGCTTCCCTATTTGCATTTAGAACGACTGTGAGAGGGACCAGGAGCCAGCCTCCCACAGCTTACAAACCTCCCGTGGTCCCACCCTGCCATCTGATTCCACTTCCCAATCACAGGGCAAGCTGATTGGTTCATTAATCACCACCTCCTCATTGAAGAGTTTATTAACTTGTTCCTTAGTGGGGAGGATGTCTCAGCCGGTGATCAATGGGCTCAGTTAACCCCACCCACACACCCGCCATCGTCATTGACCCATGACTCAGTTGCTATTAGACAAGTCTGGGAGGTGGGGGGCCGATATATGTGAAAGGAGAAACTTCAAAATAATTGTTATTGTAGAATTGGGACCAGCACCTGCCTCCAACTTGTCCTCCAAGGGCAGGGGGGACAGAATCACTGGGGTTCCCTTGATCCCCATTCTCAGAACACCTAGTAAGGCCACTCCAGGGGCCAAGAACTTGGACCCCTTGCCCACGGGGGCTCAAGGGCCACTCATCAAGATAGGATGACCTATGGCACGCATCCCCAGAGGCTTAGCATTCTGTACCCCACCCCACTGACTTCCCACTGTCCACCACTTCCCCACACACAAGGGCTCTCTTGTATATACCATGCACTGGGCAGTGCTAGGCCACTGCCTTCCACCCTCAACAAGGCCTCATGCCCAAGGTTCTGTGGACAGCAGGTTGCCATGTGGCAAGTATTAAGCCCCTACTCTGCCAGGCACTATGCTAAGGACAGAGGACAGAGCCATGAACAAAAGGGCAAAATCCTTGCCCTCATGGAACTTACATTCTAATGGCAGGAAACAGAAAATCAATAAAGAAAGCATGTAGTATGTCTGATTATGATAAGTACTATGGAGGAAAGTTAGAGGACAGGGGAACAAAGAGTACTAGGGTGCAGGGGGCTTATTTTATGGTGGGTGGTTGGGGAAGGCCTCACCTATTAGATGGCATTTGAAGGAAGTGAGGAAGCAAACCATGAGGCTACCTTGGGAAGAATGTTCCAGGCAGGGGAAAGAGCAAGTGCAAAGGCCCTGAGGTAGGAGTGTGCTTGGCAGTTTGAGGGTGGCAAGGAGGTCCATGTGGTTGGAGTGGAGTGAGCAGTGGGGACAGTGAGAAGGAGAGGAGATCAGGGAGGCAGCAGGGGACTGGATCATGTAGGGCCTTGTAGGCTGCTATGAGGACTTTGGCTTTTGCTCAGAATGACACAAGAGCTTCAGTCCAAGGAGTGACATGGTCGGACTTAGGTGTTATTTTTTTCATTTATTTTTAAAGACTTTTTTTAAAGTAATCTCGACACCCAATGTGGGGCTCACGAGACCAAGAGTCCCATGCTCCACTGACTGAGCCAGCCAGGCGCTCCCTAACTTGGGTTTTAAAGGAAGTGTCCTGGCTGCTGTGTTGAGAATAGACTGTAAGAGGGCAAGGTCAGAAGCAGAGAGGCCAGTTAGGAACCCACTGCAATAATCCAGCCAAGACGTGATGGTGGCGCAGGCCACGCGCACACGCGTGCGCGCACACACACACACACACACACTCCTCACAGGTGCAGATATCCCACACATGTTTCACCCAAGGACAACTCCCAGTTACGTCCAGACAGTACTGATAGCCTTGCATCTAGCTAAAAAAAATCCCCTGGAAGAGACAGTGGAAAATCAATGGATGTCAACGGGAGTTAAGCGGTGGATCTGTCTGCTCTCCCATGGTTAAGGCTGCTCATGTACTGCCCATGTGAAACTCTCTATGCTACCTTGATTCCCAGCCACAGCCCAGGAAAATACTGGCTACCGTGATGGTGCTTATCAAAATGCAAACCTGTTCATTTTGTCATGAGTACAAATGTCCTGTTACCTAAAAACACTCTGGCTCTTTGCACAGAATGAAGCAAAGAATGAGGAATAACCCGCTGCCACCGTTGAGAATTGGCCACCTCTCCAAAGGGATATTAGCTGCATTCCAGGAAGCTTTATCATCTGCTTGGATTAATGGTAGAGGAGCAGATAGGGCCACCCTCTACTTCCCATGATCTGTCACTGTCAAAGCCCTGTGAAGGGCAACGGGGACTGTGGGTGAGTGAGTGAGGTCCATGAGAAATGGTTCAAACTGTAACACCGTGGATTCTGGTTATATCTAGGGGGTCGCTTTGGGAGGTAGTAATGCCAAGAAAGAAAGGGTTTTCGCTTCTGATGGCAGTAGTTCTCCTAGGAAACCTTCCCTTACCCCAAGTCGTCGGTCCTTCCGTAAATCGCGGCGACAGATACCTGAGGCATGGTGCACTCCCAAGCTTCAGGCTTCTCTCTAGAACAGGTGCTGCCAAAGCCTTTCTGTAAAGGACCAAATAGTAAATATTTTAATCTCTGTTCAGCCGTTCAGCTTGGCTACTGTCACACAAAAGCAGTCATAGAACTAGACGTCCCCCCCCAAAAAAAAGAATGGGCGTGGCTGCACTCCAATAAAACTTTATTGGTGGATATCAAAGATTGAATTTCACATGCACTTCACATCATGAAATATTCTCCTTTTGATTTTTTCCAACCATTTAAAGATATAAAACCATCCGTTGTAAAACCATTTGTACTCAGGACGTACAAAAACAGGTTCGCAGCACCACGGTGTGCTGACCCGTGGTCTCAAAACGCGGGTGGTTCAGTTACCCCCGGGGGTTGGGCTGCCTGTTTACCAAGAGTCAGCTGGATCTCTCACCTGTTTCAGCCAGGTATACTTGTCATTGTAATCCTATAATCCTATAATCCTATTATCACATAATTCAATTAAATATTACACAAACTGATGAAATGTGAGTGCACAGAATCACTTCCTTGAAAACTAAGTTGGCTGCTCTGAATCGACCAGAGAATTGACGAAATGTTGAATGAGGTGTGAAGGATAACTAGAAGTTCTTCGGAGAAAATTCTAAAAAAAAATCTAAACGGCTTCTACACCGGATAGTTTCACTCATGTCCTTACATTCTCACCCCATTTAAGGAAACTGGAAATAACAGGTGATGGGTTGTGGGAGTGATTAATGCAAGGAAGACAAGGACAACTCCAGTCAGGAGCCCAAAGAGAGCCTAGTGCCTAAATGTGCATTTATATGTTTGAAGTCAAAACAAAATGACAAAGGCATATATGTTTCTATTTTTGATTGCCCACTTGGGCCAGCCTTTTCTAAAGACTGGCTAGTGACTCAGTCCTGCTTATATCTAAGCAAGGACTTCTCCAGCAATTTACCTATATTCTGTATATTTTGAATTTGAATGTTTTTTTTTAAAGATTTTATTTATTTATTTGA